TTGCCTTGCCTTGCCTTGCCTTCAAAGAGCAGAATTTATGAGGATTACTTACATTCAGGAATCAAACAAAATCCTTTTTGTGTGATTTTGATGAAGAATTAGCATTATAACAATGTTTAACCCTTTAAAGTCTGTACCATAAAAATAATTATTATAATAATTTTAATCATAATTATAATTATTTTATAACAGTTGTCATTGAACTTGTATAAGTTAAATTAGATCATTTATTTCCATAAATTTTGATAAATTAGGCATTTCTGTATAATCTTTTATAGGCTTTCTGTTCACTGCATGTGTCTGTTTGTGTAAGTAAATAAAATATATCAGACCTAAGATGCAAAGGTCTCAAAAACCATGTATTAAATATGAAACATTTGGCTCTAAAGGGTTAAAGCACAAAAAGGTCACCTGTGCATGACATAAGCGCTTTAGGCTTACTTTCAACTTTTCTGCAGGAAATATATTTGCACTTTTTAGTACAAAAAAAACTTAAGGGTCAGTTTGTTTTAGTTTGTTTCTCACAGAGGCCTGCTCCAAAGCAGGGCTGAACCAACTCTACGTCTTTAAGAACAGCCACAGTCGGTTCCAAGAGCCCGGCCTTCCTCCCCCACATTCAGCCTGAATGAAGCACTGAAGCCTTTTGCTTGACAGAACTATGGAGGGAAGCAGCGCTCCTCAAAATAAAATGTGTGTATAGTTGTAATCAATACGGCTGTGTGAGGAACTGAAAGAACCCCGGCTGTAACCAGAAGGAGCAGCTCACTAGTCAGACGGTAAAAAACTGTTGTGAGCAGGGCTGTTTGTTGTGGGTGTGCATCCAGATTCTTGTGGATTGTTTTAGCAAAGCGTGGGTTTGGAGCTAAAAGCCCCTGCTTTGGCTCAGACCTACATAAGGGTCGTCCCTCATTTTTCTTCTCACTCCTGCAGCTGGATGTGTGATGTAATAAGGAAATTACTCATCTAAAAAGAACTTGTTTTTTCATTATTATTATTCTCTCGTCAGCACTTTCTGCAACAGAAAAAAGGAAGGGAGCCTGTTTATTCAGCTTGTCACTCAGTTTTTCCTAAAATAAATGGATTTTGCTTTGATTTGAGCTAATAAGTAAAACAATTTACCAATGGATTAAGATGGTTTACATTCAGAATGATTTGATTTGAAGTGGATAA